GACAGCTACCAGGTCACTAATCAATAGGAATTTTTCAGCTCCCTTATAATCTTGGGGGGCTCTTGATGTCTGTTGTCTGTCACTGCTTGAAACGTTATTACGTGCTGCATGAATGTATCTGTTAAACGTATAAACTGAAGATTTGAAATCCATTTTTGACCAATGTAGAGTCTAAGTAGAAGGAGGACATAGAACCAAATTTTTCATCCTTTTATAACTACAAAAAGATTTAAGGCTGCGCGCAGTGGTGCACGCCTGTAATCCCAGCACTTTGGGAGGCCAGTGCGGGTGGATCACAAGGTCAAGAAATCAAGACCATCCTGGGCAACATCGTGAAACTCTATCTCTACTAAAAACACAAAAATTAGCTGGGCATGGTGGTGTGTGCCTGTAATCCCAGAGACTTGGGAGGCTGAAGCAGGAGAATTGCTTGAACCTGGGAGGCGGAGGTTGCAGTGGGCCCAGATTGTGCCACTGCACTCCAGCTTGGGTGACAGAGCGAGTTTCAAAAAAAAGGATTTAAATTTTAAAAGAAGGATTTAAATCTAATATTAAGTCTTCTGTTCACACAGTACATGATTCGAATGTACATAGGAAGTACATATAAATTTACTGGAGGAAGAGTATTCCAGGTGGAAAGAACTGCAACACCCTGTGGCAAGACGGGACTCAGCATGACTGACTAATAGCAAGAAGGTTAGAGTGGCTAAAGTAGTGTAAAAAGGGAGTAGAAAATGAGGCAGTTGAGGTGGTCAGGTGTTAGATGGATATATGGCCTTACATGTCATAAAGGTTCTGGATCTTACCATGGTGTGATGGGAAATGAGTAGCAACTAAAATGTCCTTGAAAATGTTATTTAAATTTTATATTATGTTTTGTATAATATTTTAAGAGTGGGAATTGTTAAGAGATTATGATCTCATTTGGAACTTAAATGACTTCATAAGTCATACTTCTCATTTATTTGAAACTCAAGTTACTTCATAAAAATCAAGCTTTTTCATTTTTAAAACATGTACAAGATGACATATTAGAATAAGCAATGTAATGATTACAAATGACATAATCTGATACAGAATTCGGGACAAAATTCTGTTTTGAGACTTCTATATGTGAATATATATATATTACAGTGCAAGTGAAACACATATGTACAGTCTAACGAATAACTAGAGTGAATCAGTGTAACCACTATATAGGTCAAAAAATAGAACATTTGCAGCACCTCTAAAACCATTGCTATTTGACTTTAAAAAAAAGAGCTTACTTAGGACTATAATCTGTGATAATTATCTACTTAAATGTCAACTGAAATCATGTGACCAATCTTTTTATGGGCAAAAGGAATGTTCCCTTAAGTCCATATTTAATTTCAATATGGAAATTGAGTACATATCAACTTAAAATCAATCCACATTTCAGTATAGGGATGTACAATCTCTAAGGCATTTATTTTTAATTAAAAATATATATCACATATAAAAAATAGAACTATAAAACTTAAAGATAATGTATATATTTTCATACATTTTAGGGAAAGAGAACCTAATAGTAACAGCTTTAGGATTAAAAAGCATTTGATTAAAGTAAAATCAAAGACATTCAAAACTTTAAGATCTTATTATGTGTTTCATTATAATAAATTAGGTAAAACGAGACTTCTTTGTTTCTGGGTAGTTTCTAGTATATGCTTAGCATTCATTAAATGTTAAACAATAAAATGTGAATTAGGCTAACCACAGTGTATCTAAAGCATACATTATTAAATTTGAGCCTATTTAAAATTTTATATTATAAAACTACATGTCACTGATTCATAACCTTTCTCAAATAAATAAGCCCCAAAAATCAAGATTTGTATTTTTATATCAATATTTTAGCAATAAACTACCAGAGGACAACAAATATGTTGATCAAAATTAAAATTAAACTAATAATATTTTAAAATAAGGAACTTCATATTAAAATTAGATTTTTCTCTATGGAAAAATTCTACAAACATTTTGTAAATGCATTTGAAATAGTCAAGAAAAAGAAGGAAATGAAATACAATAAATAAAGGTAAGCTATATAAAGATATACTAAATGGTGGGCAAAACTAAATGGACAACCTGGATAAAAATAACATTTAGAAGTATCACTCTTTAAGTTGTAGTGCAGCAGCACCTGAATTATGCTCCTTTTAATTTATGCACATGATGGATAGCTTGTTAAGGGGCATATCTGTAACCATTATAATTGATAGTAGCTGAAGGCAAGTCAGGCCATAATTTCTATTTAATGGATGGGATAGTAAGGGAACAAAGCCTGCAGTTGCATTTTAAAATAAGCGCCGAGAGTTTACAGTTATGTCCAAAGTAATACCTATATTCTAGAGAGGTATTAAATTATTTGAGAGGAGAGAAACATCAGCTGTAGACAGATCCACATATGATTAAATCAAAATTTTGATTTAACCAGTAACTAAAAAAACCTTACAATAAGAAGAAAAGAATGTTCAACTAACCATTTGATAGTCCATTTCTGTGCTCTTGTTCTTTAGAGCTTGTGGGAGAAGCAAATAGACTCATTTGACAAGTTCCAGTTGTTGGAGAGTAAGTTATAATACTTTTCTTCCTTGTGATTTTTGAAGGATCAAATGACTAGAATTAAATAATAATTTAGGGCAGAAATAGTTATGTTTAGTTATAGATCTTTGAAATTACATACCATTAAAAAAATCAGCAAAAATCAAACTCGTTTCCTTGTTCTTTCAGATTACAAATATACTTAATAATCACTCTCAAAGTAAACATTATTCTTTCAAATTAGGTAGGCGTTTCAGGTCTCTACAACAACTAGAACATCTCAATTTGATATTTATGAAATTTTAGCATTAAAGAGTTACTTACTACCTCTTGAGATGGTATTTCTAAACAGGTTAGAGATGGCCAATTCTCCCAACCACAGCCTGACTTTTGCTTTTAGCTGAATTTGAAGTATAATTATGGGTCCGGGGCAGGAAAACTCTCAGAGGTGCCTATTACTAAGCCTCACACAGAAACCTTAGGAAGGATCACTGCTGACCCGCAGCTTCACAAAGTGGTTCTGATGTAGTATCTTCTTTCAATAACCAAAATAATGTCCAAACAATTGAATCTGGCATTTAAGGCCTCTGAGGATTTGGCCTATCTTATACAATTCCTCTTAGCAGCTTCCTCTTTTGTGTTTCCATAGGTGATGGGCATACCTTTTATTATAGGTAACATATTTTAATGTTTAAATTTTTCTGTCTGTCCCATTAAAATTTGCTCCTGAAAATAAATATGTTTTTCACTTTTATATCCTAGAGAACTAAAAAATGTGTGAAGAATGAATGACTTACAAGGAACAGTCAACTTAGCCATCTCACTCTACTCAGAATATACTAATTTGTTTATTGGTTCATTCATCCAATTATTCACTGCTACCTACAGCTCAAGTCACTAGGCTATGTGCATTTGGGCCTCAGATCGTTCCGTAATCTCCGCTTATAATGTCCTCTTATTTATGTTCCCCAAGACCTAGTCTTTCTTCAGTTTAGGTCCTCATTCACGATCCCCTTATCATACTACTAATTGTTCTGTCTCCTGAATTTCTTTAAAACTTGCTTTCCATAAGGCTTACTCATCACCCACCAGCATTGCTAACAAATGTGTACAAAGAAATATAACAAATTGTTCTGGCCTTAAAAAGTGTCTACCAAAAGTTAGAACAACAACAAAGAGGTTTTAAATTAGTATGTATGCTACAAAATTCAGAGAAGAGGGAAAATTCAGTTGGCTGCAGTAATCTGTCACAGAAAAAGGCATGAGAAATCTGAAATCAGAGGTGAAACAGACAGCGTAGGATGGATCTGGGGGATATAGGAAAGGCCTGAAGGCTCATACACTGCCAACATATGGATATAGCTTGGCAGCAGATTTGAAAAAGTTACTTAACTCTGCATGGTCAACAATCCTTTATTTTTAAGAGACCCATGGAAGAAATAGTGGCTGTCTCATCTTTTTTAATAATCCCAATATTAGCTTCAAAATCAATAGCATTCAAAAAAATGTTTTTACAGTTAAGATTTTAAATATTAGGAAAAAATATTTAATTATATTGAAAAACAAAAGGCATTTTTAATTTTATGTATACATAGTGCCCACAAATGCAATGAATATCTTTTACAAAACATCAAACTATAGGCTGGGTACGGTGGCTCATGCCTGTAATCCCAGCACTTTGGGAGGCCGAGGAGGGTAGATCACGGTCAGGAGATTGAGATCATCCTAGCTAACATGGTGAAACCCCGTCTCTATTAAAAATACAAAAAAAATAGCCAGGCGTAATGGCACACATGTGTCCCAGCTACTCGGGAGGCTAAGGCAGGAGCATTGCTTGAACCCAGGAGGCAGAGGTTGCAGTGAGCCAAGATCGCACCACTGCACTCCAGCCTGGGTGACACAGCGAGACTCTTTCTCAAAAAAAAAAAAAAAAAAAAAAAAAAAAATCAAACTACTATAATATCAAGTTATAACTCTAAAGCAATCTTTTTTTTTTTTTTTATGGTGAAAGGATTTTAAGTCTCTTTATCAGGTGGTTACTATTACCTCTCCATCTTGAGTTTTCACCTGTTTATATGTACTCAGTCATAAAATGTCATTTATCCAATCCCTACTCTACTTTTCCAAGAATTTATTGCCCAGAACTATTACACTGTGTATGTACAAAAAATGAAAGTTGCTACCCAAATGTACATTTATGTCAATCTGTTTTCCTATTTTCACCAAAAAATTATTTTATCCAATTGCCAAATGTCTAAACATTCTAACTGTAGATCATACATTTGTCTTCAGAAACAATTTTCCAGCTTTTGGAAAATAACTCTGTGTGTGTGTGTGTGTGTGTGTGTGTGTGTGTGTGTGTGTGTGTGTGTGTGTGTATTTTTGCCTTACTTTAAAAATACTGAGGCGTGGCTGGGCGCGGTGGCTCACACCTGTAATCCAAACACGTTGGAGGCCAAGGTGGGCAGATCACCTGAGGTCGGGAGTTCAAGACCAGCCTGACCAACATGGTGAAACCCCATCTTTAAAAAAAAAAAAAAAAAAATACTGAGGCTTCTTTTTATTTTTGGTCATTTGTATTGGTTAAAAAAAAAAGTCTACTTAAAACTACTATATGCAGAAAGAAAACTGAAAATCTACTCTTTCCCTGCTATACCACTAGTCTTCAGAAAATATGCACTTTTGTTTATCTGCCCTGCTGGTACACACAAAGGCATAACCCTACTTCCCTAAGCTTTCTTTCCCTCAAGCTTGTACCAAGTTCCTCTAACTTTTAATCTCTGAAGAGGTTTAAAAGTAATCCTAGAATCCATTTGAGAATTTCCATTCTTCCATCTCCCAAACTTTGAAGGTCTTGGCCTACTCATTAGTCTCCCACAGAGGAAGAATTAAGAATAGTGGGATTTGAGAAGACTGAGCTGCTAACTGAGAAGACAGCATTCCTTCCACTCAGCAAGGACAAGTGCTACCCATGAGCCCTTTAGAAAAACAGGAAGAAAAAGTAAGAGGAAAAATTTGGCTAGAAAAAAGCAAGAACCCAGGATGTAAACAAAATATAAAAAATAAATAAATAAATAGAAGATGTCAGCTGGGCAGGGTGGTTCATGCCCGTTATCCCAGTACTTTGAGAAACCAAGGCGGGAGGATTGCTTGAGCTCAGGAGTTCGAGACCAGCCTGGACAAAATACAAAAACCTGTCTCTACAAAAAGTACCAAAAAATTAGGTGAACATAGTGGCACATGCCTGAGGTCCCAGCTACTCTGGAGGCTGAGGTGGGAAGATCACTTAAATTCACGAAGTTGAAGCTGCAGTGAGCTGTGATCATACAACCACCACCACTACCACCACCCCCAACACACACATGAAAACAGATGTCACAACCACTTCTGTAATAATTTACAACGCTTGGCTGGGCGCGGCAGCTCATGCCTGTAATCCCAGCACTTTGGGAGGCCAAGGTGGGTGGATCGCTTGAGGCTGAGTTCGAGACCAGCCTCACAACATGGGAAAACACTGACTCTACTAAAAATACAAAAATTAGTTAGGTGTGGTGGTGCCTGTATTCCCAGCTACTTAGGAGGCTGAGGCATGAGAATTGCTTGAACTCAGGAGGGAGAGGTTGCAGTGAGCCAAGATCACAGCACCGCACTCTAGTCTGGGAGACACAGGGAGACTCTATCTCAAAAAAAAAAAGCCTCCCAAAATACTGCTTGTAATATTTCCTGATTCCTTAGAGCTATTTAATATCATTTCTAAACAAAGGAAATGCCACATTCTAAGATGCTGCAATCAGTCCCGCCCAAATGCTACCGTACTTTTTATAAGGAGGTCTAACCTTATATATTAGCAAAACTAAAATTTGGACATCAATTTTTCTGCCTGAAAAAAAAAATCAATCTTCTCTCAATAATTTCAAATAGATGTGATATTTTCCTTCAATATGTTTCACAATTTGTAGCTTGCTTTGTCACCTGGTTTAAAGCATATACTACCAAAAAAGGTGCCTCTGCATTTTATTGGTTTTTTTTAAAACCTATTATATACAGTCTAGAAAGTACTAACTAAAAATTCTTGCAGGATGAAATATGGGATTTAAAGGATACTTTATCATTATTTTGAATTGCTAGCCTATGCTAAAATATTTAAAATACAGATAGTATAGTGTCTGGCCAACCAGAAACAAAAGGGCAGCTAGAAGGAGATAATTCTTTATAAACTTATACTGGTTATTTAGGCTAAGATATAATTAATATGATTAATTATATTAGATTGTAATTAATATGCATTACTAATACTAATTATGAAACTTACATTAGAAAACTCTAGCATTAGCTGCCTCAGAGACTTTTCACAATTAGGGCCTAAGGTTCCTTTAGGAGAGTCCTAGATATCAACCGCCTTCTTCTTTTTTTTTTTTTTTTTTTGAGACAGTCTCTCTGGGTCCCCTGGTTTGGAGTGTAGTGGCACAGTCTTGGCTCACTGCAAGCTCTCTCTCCCAGGTTCAGGCGATTCAACCACCACACCTGGCTAATTTGTGTATTTTTAGTAGAGACAGGGTTTCACCATGTTCGCCAGGCTGATCTCCAACTCCTGTACTCAAGTGATCTGCCTGTCTTGGCCTCCCAAAGTGCAGGGATTACAGGCATGAGCCACCGTGCCCAGCCCCAACTACCTTCTTATCAGCTACCACAATTACCAACCTTAATGGTTCTAAAAATGTTGGGGTTTTGTTTTTATGGTAGCTATGGAGAACAGAAACATTTTGAACTTATCTCAGTGATCTTACAGAGATAGCAGGGAAAGAATACGACTAATATGTTAGAGCTATGGCACTGAATTATACATTTGCTAAAACTCATCGAATTGTACAGTCAAGATCTTTGAATTTAATGATATGTAATTTCACCTTGATCAAAAAATATTCACAAGAAAAATAAAATATCAGCTAAAAACATTGATATACTGATTTTTCTATTTATACTAATTATTTTTTTACAATTTAAAGATACTAAGATTAATTTTAATAATAAAGGTATCATTACTATCATTCTCTTACACTGTAATTTTTTTTTCTAAGAGACAAAGTCTTTTTCTGTTGCCTAGACTGAAGTGCAGTGGCATTATCACAGCTCATTGCAGCCTTGAACTCCTGGGCTCAAGAGATCCTCCCACTTTACCCTCCTGAATAGCTGACTAGAGATATGTATCACCATGCCAACTTATCTAACAAAGAAAATTTTTTAGAGACATCACTATATTGCCCAGGCTAGTCCCAAATTGCCAGTCTCAAGCAATTCTCCCACCTGAGCCTCCCCAAAAGCTGGAATTACAGGTTAAAGCCACCATGCAGGCTTCCAGAGACTTTATGGTTTGGCTTTACTTTAGGCCTATGATCCTTCTTGGAATAAATTTTGTACATAAAGTGAGATACGAAGTGCATATTAATTTTGTATATGAAGTAAAATTAGTTTTTTTCTATATGGTTACCATTTACTAAAGACTTTCTTTTCCCCCACTGAATTGAACCAGCATTTAAAAATATTTAACAAATTTAGTCAACTGCTAAAGATAATATGAACCAAAAACAGTATTAGAAATAAGATTTTCCAAAGAGAATGAAGAATCATGAAATCTTTAAACAATTATACTAACAGAAAGATAGCTGCGGTATATGGAAGGAACTGTAGACTTACAGTTGGAAAGCCTGGGCTTATATAATGCTTTTGCTGTTCCCCAGCTATGCCATCATGGACACACCACTCATCTGAATTTCAGTTTCCTCATTTAACTAATATATTCCCTCACTCAACCAGCAAAGAGCAAAGAAAGTAGGATAGGGCAGGTAGGGGGCAACTGGCACTGTCACGTATCTCAGGCCAGGATCCACAGCAATCACTTTCTTTCCTCATAGAGGGAGGTGGGGATGGGGATGAAGGCAAAGAAATTCCAACCATGCTATTCAAACAAAAAAAAAGTGAGGGTTTTTGTGGAAAATCTCCCTAGAACCAGGATGCTTTATCTTAGGCTCTACTCTAGGCAACTTGTTTTCCTTTTAAGCAAGGATATATAATAATATTTTCCTATGCCAGAATTGAAAAGATTCAGCATGAAACTAGATTGATGGACCCATCCAAGAATCCACAACATTCTATGGGACGGAATCTCTCTTCAGGTAGATTAGGGCAGGCCTTTTCCATGTGTCTTCTCATAGCCCATTCTTGAGACAGGGAGCCTGGAACTGTTCCAAGCAATGCATATGATGACAGGCGAAAGCGGTGGGGGTATGATGACAGGCAAAAGGAGCAGTTGAGGAAATAGTGGCAGATTTGCAACTCCTAAGCTTACTCCTACCCCATTCTGGGCCACTATAATTTTTTTTTTTTTTTGAGACAGGGTCTGGCTCTGTTACCCAGGATGGAGTACAGTGGTGTGAGCACAGCTCACTGCAACCTCCACCTCCTGGGCTCAAGTGACCCTCCCACCTCAGCCTCCTGAGTAACTGGGACTACAGGTGCATGCCACCATGCCTGGCTAATTTTTTGTACTTTTGGTAGACAGAGTTTTGTGATATTGTCCAGGCTGTTCTCAAACTCCTGAGCTCAAGCAATCTGCTAGCCTCAGCCTCCCAAAGTGCTGGGATTACAGGTGTGAGCCACTGCACCTGGACATACAATTTTATTTATTTGCTCCTTTGAATAATTGCACCTTGGTCCTCACTTTCTCCAGGAGGTCAACTGTAGTAGATGTGTGCTAATGATGTATCTTGTGCATTTTAACTTTTTTTCTTAATAAAAATATTTTGGTTTTGCATTTTTGTATATTTTAAACTAAGGTCCTTATTTTATTTATTTATTTATTTTTGAGACGGAGTTTCACTCATGTTACCCAGGCTGGAGTGCAATGGCGCAATCTTGGCTCACCGCAACCTCCGCCTCCTGGGTACAGGCAATTCTCCTGCCTCAGCCTCCTGAGTAGCTGGGATTACAGGCACGCACCACCATGCCCAGCTAATTTTTTTGTATTTTTAGTAGAGACGGGGTTTCACCATGTTGACCAGGATGGTCTCGATCTCTTGACCTCGTGATCCACCCGCCTCGGCCTCCCAAAGTGCTGGGATTACAGGCTTGAGCCACCGCGCCCGGCCAGGTCCTTATTTTTACACTTTGTTCTGAGGTACACAAGCAACCTCAGGGGTAATTTGACAGCAACTCCAGGTCGTCACAGTAGGAACACTTTTTGTTGTTAAATTATCACAACTACTTGGAGTATATAGCCTATTGGACTATCTCATTTTTGTCAGTAAGCGCTGGCTTTTCTACTACAACGTCTTCTTAGACTCCTCCAGCTTGATGTTTCTTAGGATACTTGGTTTTAGTTGATTTGCCCCATGACTTGATCACCTTTTACTAGAAGGTTGGACATGAGTAATAGGAAGGTGGTGCAGAGA